TGGTGCATATGCACCATGGAATATTATGCAGCCATAAAGAATGAGATCATGTCCTTGGTGACAACATGGATGGAGCTGGAGACCTGAACTTATCCATCTCATGCCTGTAATCCAGCTTCATCCATGTACTGCATCCATGTTCTCACTTATAAGTGAGGGCCAAACATTGAGCACACATGGACACAAAGAAGGGAACAATAGCCACCCACCAGGGCCTGCTCAAAGGTAGAGGGTGGGAGGAGGGTGCTATACTTACTACCTGGATGACAAAATGATCGGAACACCAAACCCCCATGACACACAATTTATCTAACGAACTTGCGCATGTGCCCCCGAAACTAAAGGTTAAAATGTGAATTTTCACGCCTGCAGAATCAGAAACTTTGTTTGGGGGTGGGGTCCAGGAATCTGCATTTTAAGACATTCTCTGTGTTTTAACAAGCACCCCACCCTTCTCCAGGTATTCTGAGAGCTGCTAATGTGTAAGAAATGCTGTAATCGAGAGCACAGGTTCTCCAACTTGGTTGCACTTTGGGATACTGGGAGGAGGTGAGGGAGACCTCAAAATGCTGATGCCTGGGCCCCACCCCTAGATTCTGATTTAATTGGTCTGATGTATGGCCTGGGCATTGGGAATTGTCAAAGCTCCCAGGGGATTCTAGTGTGCCTCTGAGGTTCAGAACCACTGGCTTCGAGACTTACACACAGTGCTCAAGACCTGAGAACTGTTCTTACTCTCAGCACATTCCCATTTAGAATGGGTATTCTAGAACAATGTCCCCATGCTTTGCTACCAGGCAGGCTGGGTTCAAATCCTGGCTCTATCTCTAACTAGAACTAAGACTTTGGGCACATCATTTAGCTTCTCTGGGCCTCAGTTTCTTCATCTATAAAAATGGGGATAATGCCACGCGCAGTAGCTCATGCTTGTAATCCTAGCACTTTGGGAGGCCAACCAAGGTGGGGGAATTGGTTGAGCTCAGGAGTTCGAGACCAGCCTGGGCAACATGGTAACACCTCATCTCTATAAAAAGTACAAAAATTAGCTGGGTGTGATGAAATACTTCTGTAGTCCCAGCTACTCAGGAGGCTGAGGTGGGAGGATGGCTTGAACCCAGGAGGTAGAGGTTGCCATGAGCCAAGATTGTGCCACTACACACCAGCCTGGGCCACAGAGCCAGACCCTCTCTCTCCCTCTCAAAAAAAAAAAAGATAACACATGTAAGCACAGATCAGTGCTTCACTACTCATGGTTCCACAAACATTTCCTCATCACCCTCCAAAGCAAAGCCATGGCTGCATCGAACCCAGCTTTCCAACCCAACAGCTCCATTCAGGAAAGGGCTGTGACCACTTTGCTCTCAGTAGAAAATGGTGCGGAGGGCCTAGGGTGAGGGGACATGGGCACTTGGATGTCTGGAGTATGCCAACTCCTCAGGCCCACCTTGGGGCTCCAGCCTCCTCACTACTCTCCTGACCTCAGGAGGACAGCTCACCCAGGCTTATCTTATCCTTGGAAACTTTTTTTTTTTTAAGATAGGGTCTTGTTCTGTTGCTCAGGCTGGAGTGCAGTGGCATGATTATGGCTCTCTGTGCCTTGACCTCTCATGCTCAAGTGATTCTCCAGCCTCAGCCTCCTGAGTAACTGGGAATACAGGTGTGTGTGTGACCACCCCCAGCTAATTTTTGTATTTTTAATAGACAGGGTTTTGCCATGTTGATCAGGCTGGTCTCGAACTCCTGGGCTTAAGTGATCCTCCCACCTCAGCCCACACTGGCCTCCCAAAATGCTTGGATTACAGGCATGAGCCACCGCACCTGGCCTGGAAATTTCTTTCATCCTTTCTCCAACTCCTAGTCCAAAGGAACCTATTCTATAGAGTCTTATGCTTAGTGGGGAAGTGGTTTATCGGTTATGGCTTAGAACTACAATGACCCACTTAAAAATTGCCATGATGCAGCAGATGTGAAGTTGAAAGTTTTCTCATGTTGTCCTACTTGGTCTCTGCAAGAACCTGGGACATGGAGGTGATAATGAATGGCATGAATTGTCTCATCGACCCTCTTAGAACTCAATGGCCAGCCTGAGTCTTACCCACTTGGTACTCTTTCCAGGGCTGTCCTTCCTGAATTGAACTGGAGGAGAAACAACTGCCTGTCAGCATTCTATAAACTCTATCCCCAGGTCACCCACATTGTCTTACAAACCCTGGAAGGTGGGAAGACAGCCTGGTGGGACCCAGGGGCCTACACAGCCTTCATGTGCCTGGAGGGTCTTGGAGCTGTAGAAATACAGCTGCAAAGCTGGCTGGGGAGTGAGTGAATTTCTCTTAGCTGCAAGAACATTGTTGCAGAGCAGGATTTATGAATCAGGCATAACTGAAGGAAGGTGGAAAAGAGGAAAAAGCTGCGGTGCCCCTCAGAAAAACCACATAAACCAAAACTCATTGTTCATGGCACGAACTCCCCCCAAACAGAAGGAGACATGCTCATGTCATCTGGCCTTGGACGAAGAAGCCTTCCTTTCCTAATTGGGGTAGATTTAGACTGATGCTAAAATGATACAAATTCCCTAAAAGCACAGCAGCTCCTGATGACGCTGGGCTCAACCAAAGTTTTGGGACTTTGCACATGCTGTTCTCTTTGCCTGGAATGTTCTAACCAGCTTTCTTGAGCCCTATCCTTCCTGTGGCTCACCAACTTCTCAGCCTTGGATGTTTTGACTCATAAGACCTCATCCAGGAGGTTGTCTTTATTTCCCTTGGTCTGAGTTGCTGCAGCACATTGTCTCACTCCTCTAGAGTACCCTACTGTACACTGTAATCGACGAATTACTCAGTCACCGCCCCCCCTCCCCAGACTCTGAGTCCCCAGGAGAGGACATCCTTTATCCTTGTGCCCCCAGCCCTTTGCACAGTGTCAGGCATAGCAGGCACTCAGTTAATGCTGCGAAGATGAATGGATGGAAACGGAAGGGGCACTGTGAGGAGGGGCCAGGAGTTCAGGAGACTGACAGCTCATTCTAAGGACTTCTCCAAGTGGCCAGTCCTCAGGCTGAGGATCTGAAGCAACCACCTGTGCCCCATGCCCACCAGCACAGAGTCCAGGCAACAGCAGGGCTCACCTGAAAGATGGAGTATTTCACATAACCGATCTCTATGCAGGTGCTGTCATTTGTTGGCTTGCTGGAGAGGAGTGCTTTGAACCTGAACAAGGACATAAAAAAGAGATGAAAAGGACTCACACACAAACCCATGGCTCGCATAAATAAAAAACAAAAACCAAAAACAAACAAACAAACAAAAAACTCAGCTCTCCTGACAATAGAAAGACTTTGTTTCTTCCCCTGCAACTCTATATAGCAGTGGTATATCCTTACATTTCTTAATTTAAACCCTCCTATTATACCGTAATCTAATTTGAAGTTAAAACTCTAAAGTTAAAAAACAGTGTTTTGGACAATTACATTCATTCTCCAACTGGTGATTGGAAAAGAATGAGTGCTTGTTAAACCCCGACCATCTTTCAGGGCCTGTCACGTGGCCGCCACCTTCAAGGCATCTCTTCTAAGCCTAGGGCTATGGCTTCACTCCCCCCTCTCTGGTGTCCATGGAACACGCTTTGCTCCACGAGGGCAGGGACTTCAGTGGTTTCTGTCTCTGCTACATCCCCCATCCTGTCCCAGTATGAACCTGACACATCATAGATAATTAATCAATGTTTGTTGACTACCTAATCATCTCCCTTATGGGTGACTTTCTGTCTTGGATTTTCAATGCACTTTCCTGCCCATCAACTAAACTAAAAGCTCTTTGTAGGAGAGATCTTATCAATGGAACACACAGATAATATGTTTAATAATAAGCTGATATGTATCTTTTTTTTAAACTCATTTTTGAAATTATAGATTTACAGAAGAGTTGCAAAGATAATATAGAGAGTCCCTGTTTACCCCTCACCCAGCTTTCCCTAATGTTAACAGCTTACACAGCCATGGTACCTTTGTCAAAACTAAGAATCTAACATTGGTACAATATTGATCTGGTTTGTCTACGATGTCATGACTGAAAACTATGTAAGGGAAAACATATTTTTCTTGCGGTGGCAAAGCAGACATCTGGGGTTTGTGTTTGGTTTTGGTGGGCGGACTGGAGATTCCTGGATGCTTTTAGAAATGCAGGGAGTGCTAGTCACACACATTCTCTTAGCAAACTTCCTGGAAGGGAGTTCCATTTCTGGGTTCCCAGTGTCCTTACCCAACTCAGGTACCCCCTGCTCACCACCCAGCTGGGACTCTTGCTATTCTTCATTTTGGCATCATTCTCTCCTGCCGCCTCCTCATTTCAGCATCAATCTCTCCTCTGCCCCAGCCTCACTCCTCCCTGTTCAGGTCTCTGGACAATATGGTTCTAAACTGTCAACCCAATCTCTACTCAAAAGGAGAAGAAAGGCAGTTGCAGAGCTAGCAGAGAGGGTGAGCAGTTCTTCCTATTGCTACGTGATACTACTGTCTGTTAACTCCACAGTTAGGGAAAAGTAAAGTCAGGACCTGTGTATTTCAGTGACTTATGCCAAAGTCTGTTCCCTGACATTTGGAGAGTGGCAGCCTCAAGGCTCCTGTGTGTGGGGTCTCAGGTTGTTCACTGCTCAAGGCCGCCTAGCCGAGGGAGCCAAAATCTAAATCCATGCTCTGCTCCCAAACTCGGCTCCCCCTGCCTCCTTTATTTGCCCAGAGGAGAAGGCACCTTGTTCTAGGCTGTTTATGCTAGCAGCTTCCCTGTACTCTTGAATTCTTTATTTTGTTAAGATGATCTGCCAGTTTGGTGAAGAGACCACCAAAATGACTTCAAAAAATAGTGATAGCAACAGCCAAAGTCATAATGCAGCTGCTTTCAAAACCGATGATACATACCTTGGAGAGGCTGTAAATAACAGCACTTTGTGAGCATAAAATGGTCTTCCTTCTACCAGAAAGGTAACATCAGACATTTCTTTATTGTTAAGAAAATGAGGATCTGGAATTGGAAAGGAAAAAAAGGTAGCTTTAGTGGAAAAAAGGATGAAGTTTAGATTTATCTTGTAGAAGGTGCAAATAAGAGTGAGCAAGGAAATCTTGGTGATAAAATACTCATTGACAAGACAGCAACCAAACAGCAGACAGGACTAATTAGAGGAACAGTCAAGCCACTGAAATTTAGTTTTTCATAGGAAATCCTTATAGCTTATTTGTGATTAAAAGTAGCATTTCCCCAGAGAAGATTCACCTATAGCTAGAGTGAACTTTTCAGGTGTGAAAGGTAATCACCCACCTACCCTGTCTCTAAGAATATGCCGCTCATCCCCACCTCTGCTGCTCTCTCTCAGGGCTCAGCGCCCTCCCTGCCCAAAGGAAGTGGTTTAGAAGAGCTGTCCCCTGGCCACTGCATTCCAGGTGATTTAAGTCCAAGCCTTTCTCTCCCGGGGTCAGTGGCAAATGAGCCAGTCCCCTGCCCTCATTTTCTAGAATAAAGATTTGGCTTCTACTTACTGAGCACTTATGATATGCAACCTGGTTGCACATTATCCCCACTGTGCAGTTGAAGAAACTGAGGCACACAGAATTTACAGTGACTTGTTCAAGCTAGTGACTGGTGGAGAAGCTACGATTCGAACTCGGACATTCTGATTGGATGGCCTGCTTGGTTAAACACTAGGATCCTCCAATTTGCCTGTCATTTCAGCCCTTGAGACCCGAGGCTCCTGAAGGTGCCAGTCTGTCCTCAGCTCAGCACTTCTGTCTTGTTGAGAATATCCATCAACACCCCCTGTCCTACGTTTCTTGAATCTTCCATTTCCCTCCATTCCCTTTGATATTACCCTAGTTTGGGCCACATCCTCTCTTCCTGGGAACTCACAGGAGCCTCTGTTGGTCTCTCTGCCTCCACTCTTGGCCCCCTCAATCTGACGGCCCACCTCACTGCAGGCGCCATCCTTCCTAAAGCTAGCTCTGATCATGCCACTCCCCTCCTCTGCTACAGATCATTCAATAACTCCCAAGTGCTCCCAGGATAGAGTCTAAACGTCTTAATGAGGTTACTTGTGACTGGGTTTCACTGCCTTCTCTGGCTTCTCCCTGTCAAACTGTGTGTGTGCTTGAGCTATGGGTGGCTCTCAGTTCCTCATGGGTGTTATGTGCTCTCTCCCCTCTGGGGCTCTGCACTCATTGTTCCTTTACCTAAAACACCCTTCCAGCCCCTTCCAAACCTGGCTCATCCCTAGGTGGTCTTCAAGTTTCAGACATACTGATCAGATGCCCTTGGTCAGTAAGCCTTGCCAGATTCCCCCACTTTCCCCAGACCCAGTAGCCCCAGCTGAGTTCCCACAGCATATGCACCCCTGCTGTAGCCTCATCATGCTATGATGTATCCACGTCTGTCCATTTCAAACCCTTTCATCTGTGTCTAGTACAGAAAGGTGGTGAAGTGTAATAACAGTATGGATTCTGAGGCTAGAAATCTCAGCTGTGTAACCTTGGCAAGTTATTTGTCCAACCCATGCCTCAGTTTCTCCTTCTGTAAAATGGAAATTGCAGTACCCATTATACTCCATCACAGAGTAGTGAGGAATAAACGAATGAGTGAATTTATGGAGAGCACTTAGCAAAGTGGCTGACAAATGAGTATCCCTCAATAGACATGACCATAATACTATTTGTAGAGGTTCAGTGGATGTTTTTTGAGTGAATGAAATAATGCCTTGACTCCTGTTGCAGAAACTTGTTCTAGGAGGCTGCCGAGGACCCGGGGGCCCTTCTTAGCCTGTAGGCCCCTTTGTTGTTGATGGGCCCTTCCCCAGGGGTGCAGGGGCTGTGCTGAAATGAAACCCCACTGCGTCCTCTGGCTGGATTTATGGGTTGTCCTAAACTATTGAGGACAGGACCAAGCTCCTGTCTTCCTGGGGGATGTGAACACTCAGCTGTTGGACTCACCCTGTCTGTCTATACCTTGGGGCCCTGGCCTGGCTGCATTTTCCCCAGACTGCTGTAACTTGGACCCAGAATTTGCCTTCCAGATTGATTCTCTTCACTCAGACCCTGAACCCTGTGCTGCCCCAGACGGTGATCCTGGTGGTCCTCCACTCACCTTTCTCTATCGGTACAGAGCTGCCTCACTTCTTCTCATTTTTTTTTTTAAAGGCTCTTACTTTAAAAATATCAGAAAAGCATAAACAGTAAAAATCACCTGTGTAATCCCACTTTCTTTAAACATTTTAATTAAAAAACTCCCCCCAGAACTTCTGAAATGATCCAGATAAAGGGAAAAGAGGCTGCAAGGGAAGGCCTGAGAGTTGATGAAAACTCATTT